TTGTTAAAATACAAATTTGTAATAAAAAGAAAAAAAAAGAAAAAAAAAATACAATTTGAAATGTGAAATTAAGTTTAACTTCATTTCTCCCATTTGAATTTGTTTGATTCACGTATGTAAATTCATTTCCGTTGTTCTATAAGTTTAAAAATTTCCAAATTTTATTTTAAAATATTTCCAAATCAAAAACTTACATTTTATATTTTTGGCAAAAATTTTAAATTTCTTTTAAATTTTATTACAACTACATCTATTATAATTTTGATGTCTCTTTTGTAATGATTAGTGAACAATGTACAGGATTTTTAATAAAATGTCGCACGGCAAACAATTTCGTTTCAATAATTTTGGACGCTGATTGACTAATTCGACTAAAAACTCCAACTTTTCAATGATTCTTTTATTGTTTTGACATAATTATAAATAAAATCCATTCTGTTTTCCCTTTGTTCATTCAAAATTACAAACCCTAGAAGTTTCAATGACTTGTCTTGACTCATCACTCTCTGAATACAAATTCTCTTTAATAAACTTTTTAAAAATTTTATATTTAAAAAAAAAAACAAAAAAGAATAGTCGCTCTCGTATTAAAATGAAAAAGTCTTTGTCCTAAAACACAAATCAAAGCATTTAATTTATAAATTAATTGTATACCCCAGTAACTTTCCAGCTATTATCCTAGTTTAAGTAGAACAACTCATTTTTTCTTTCTTATATAATAATAATAATAATAATAATGTGTTAAAAATTCATTTCACATATAATATGGAATTTTGCACTCGTGCGTTCTTTTCTCTTTATAAAAACTCTCTTTATATACAAAACTGTTATAAAGGAGATTCTCATCAAAAATACATTTTGGTGCAACATTACATGTTTTTTTTTTTTTAACATTATGCATCCGTTTTTCATTTGTCCCAGATATGGGAGTTTGTGTATATTAGTATGCATGTATGTACAATATTATGTAGATAAAATTTAAGATCTTAAGAAAAGCACATACTGGTAGAGTAGTTATTCTTGCAGAATTTAGTAGAGTAGAACATCATGTTATCTTGTTTTATTCAAAGTTTATCAAGAAATTCAAATGAAACAAAACTTTATTTTAGGTACACAAAGAAACTCAAGCTATACGACATAAAAATGAAACGCATATTTTGTTGTCGTTTAATATTAGAGTGACATTTTCCTTTATATTTGAATCGTTTTACATTTCTTACAAAAATTTCAGTCATAAATTAAATATTTTAGCATACGATGACGAGTATGAACTTTAAAAAACAATAGGAAAAAATGGAAGTGGAAATTTAAAAGAAAATTTTTAACCTAAAGGAAAAATTAACAAAAGAAAATTGTATTATTTCTTTTTTCTTTCCGTTTTTCTGATATTTTTTTCTATAAAATTTCTAGTGAAAGAATTTAAAGCCAGCATAAAAGTTACAAATTTAAGTTATTTATAAATTTAAAGGAGTTCACTGAAAAACATCCTTATAGTTGAGAATAAAACGGGGAAAAAATAGAGTTGACCGTGTCAACTCTGTGGTACCCGTACGAATATGTTGTCTTATGTGCTTATAAATATGCCATAGCTGACTATGGGACAGATTATAACTTTAAGCTGTCGTATTACCATATTAATTTATTCAAAATTTCAGTACTGTGTTTTTAATATTTTCTAAGATATCGCCTTAGATATTTACTAAGATTCTAAGAAATAACTTTTGAAGTTGTATGGCAGCTACCCGAGCCAGTACCCCGATCATGTCCAATTTAAATAGAGTTCTGGCACTTACTACAAGAAATCATTTGTGAAAATTTGGTGAACTTAGCTCAATTACTTTTTGAGTTATCGTTGGGACGGACAGGCGGACGGACAGACAAAGCTAAATCGATTCAAAATTCGACGCTGATCAAAAACATACACTTGAGTCTATATCTCAGAGCATTATTTCTTAGCGTTACAAACGGTAAGACAATTTTAGTATACCCTTCGAACATACGCTCATACGGGTATAAATACCATCTTTTTTCAATGCACCAATTCTCAAGACAATACAATTAATGTATGTTCAAACAATTTTAGGCAAAATAATAAAAAAATTTTGAAAAAAAAAAATTAAATAAATTTTAAACATATTAAAAAATCCAGACTCAATATGATACATACATGTATGTACATGAGTAGGGTTAATTTATTCAAAAATTTTACCTATAACTTATTAGGCCTTTTCGTAAACGCAATACATATCACGATATTCCGCTAATTTTTCACATTCTAGCGAATTAGTATTAGTAGGCAGTCAATAATGAAATCTTTTGATTTTACAAAATAGTTAAAAATAGTTTGCATGTTCATCATGATTATTGAATCATTATTCATCATGCAGTATTGTATTTCGCTATTATTATTTTGCAGTATTTAACCTCATCTCTATTAAATCTGTATTATTTTTGACAACAGATAAAAAATTTTGAGTTCGAGTATCAAAAAGCATTGTCCAATTTCAGAACTAAAATTAGAAATATTCGTTCAGCCAGTTTCTTTATTTCGAGTTTTGTAATAATTTTGTTATGCCTTAAGTTTAAAGATATAGTTATACAAAACAAAGTTCTCAAATCATCATATTATGTTGCATAGACAAAAATGAGATGAGATAGAAGTTTTTGAATCGAAACTATAATTAACATAAAATCCTGCTTTAAGAATTTCTTAACGACACGACCGGTTCGGAAAAACGATTTCCATCTCTTAATTCCCTTATAAAATTTACTTTTTAATTCCAATATTAATTTTAAAAATTAATTTCGACTTCGAGTATTTTCGATTTCGACTTTGACATTTGGACACTATCGAAACACACTATAAGAATTGCATCAATCATTAAATTTTTAGTTTTTTAATATAAAAAATTTAAAAACAAATATTTTAAAATCAAAGTTTCATAACAATCAATTTTCTATTAAAATTTTCTGAAAAAAAAAATGGGAAGTGAATTAAATTTACAATGTGCATTGTACATACACATGAAATACAACAATTTGTATGAAGAAAGGGCGAAAAAGGCGTTTGTGCAATCAAAAATTCCTTTCAACAATTTATTTTCCTTTTCTTTTTCTTAGAATACGAAAAATGATTATAATGGTTTCTTTTTTTCTTGTTATTGCATAAAAAATCCATTTAGAAGTAAATTTTCATCTGATCAAAAAGGATTCTCAAAAAAATTAAGGAGGAATATTATTTCTTTTCAATATTTTTGATTTTCTATTTTTTTTTCAAATATGTATGTATCCTTATGTACGTATGTATATTAAGTATTTCTGAAATACGTAATTGAAACATGTGAACATATTTAAATTAAAATTAATATGAAAATAATGTTAGATTGCACAGAATAATGTACTGTGAATGTATGTGTGTGTATTGTTATTCATAAAAATACAATGTGAAAATATAAATTATGAATAAAAAAATTTTCTATTAGAAACAAAATAAACTCAAAATAAAATCAATATGCCTTTATAAACTCATTTTTTTGAAAGCGTTTTTATTTCTAAACGGTATTATAGGATATTTAAAAATCCAAGTTGAAATTTCTTCACTTTCTGTCATATAATTTTAGTAGTCTGCCTAGTATTTCGAATTTAAAAACCTTTAATAATTTAATTAAATTGAACATTGTTTAAAAATATATTAAACAGAACGCAGGCAGACATGCAGTTTTTAGTTTTGCAACTGTTTGATTGCATATTTAACGCATTCGATTAGAATTGACGCAATATTTTAATTGGTATTACTCTTCTATAATCGTTGTGTCGCACAACTAAACTATTGCGTCAAATAATACAAACTGTTTGATTGTTTAGTTAGATACAGTTGCATGTATATACGCTTGTATATAAACCTATGAAATACAAGCAGTTGTAATAAGTAAGCAAACAGTTGCAAAGCTAAAAATTGCATCTTTGCTTGCGCGACACTGAGTGAAAAAATAATGAGTCACGTTATTTGAACTTACAATTTTACACATCATAAACAATTTTTTTTTTAATTTCTTCATACTTTTTTGTATTTTACAGGTTTTGTATGATGTATATATGTACGTGTGTGTATAAATTCTTATTTTTATACAAACAGCGAAATTGTATAGAAGAAAATTGCCTTAAAAATAGGTAACAATAAAATTATAATAATACACTTGAATTGTAATTCAATAAAAATAAATTTTAGTAACATTAAATATTTTTAAAAAAATAAAGGTACAAAAGGGGACTTAAAAAGGGGATTTTAAATTTACATTATAAATAATTTTTCATTGTTATCTTCATCAAAAACACTTGAAATTTTTTTCTCAAATATTTTTGGGTAGTTTTTTTAAATATGAGAGTGCAATTGAGAAATCTAATATTTTGCATGTTCTTTACGTACTAACGTAATGTTAACATATCCAATTTTTAGAACTGTTTATCAGTAAAATTTTTTCTATCTGTTAAAATAACATTGCATAATTATGTGAAATTTTAAATCAAAAAATGTTTGCAACATCTTCAGTTTCTGCATATTTGTAAGCATGTGTGAAAAAACTTTCAAATTTTAATTTAGAAGTTTCAGTGCATACTGAAATTTCGAAAATTCCCTTAATCGAATCAGCTAATCTATCAACAGTGTAATCATAGTTGATACAATTGTGTAATCATGTGATTGAATTCAACCGTCATTTTTGTTTTGACTTCCTACTTTTCTTTGGAAACACTTAAAACTCCCAATTAGAAATTCAAAGAAAAAAAAAAAACAAAAATTCTTTGAAATTGTGGGAAATGCATACAGGCCTTTAATTTATTAAATAAATGGAACAAAATTTTGATCAAAAACAACAACCAGTTTTTACTTCCACATTTTCAATTGTTCCACAAATATTTAATTTTGACATTTATTTGATGTCAAAAACATACGTACGCACACATATGTATATATGTTATTATTAAACGTGTGTAAAGCTTATCTTCGACTTCTTATCCTAAAAAATAAAATTTTTTTTTGCTTTAAATGTAAATATTTTTTACAAAATGATTAGTGATAAAATAAATTTAGATAACAATAATTCAATAGCAAATGTTAAAAGTTTACAAAATGAATTGAATGAATTATTAACGGACAATACGCTCGCGTTAGGTAACAACTTGCGAACCCAAACAATAACAAATAATCAAGAAATATGGAACAATATACCGGCAAATACAAACGAAAAAATCGTTATTAATAACGGTAATAATAAATTAAGTGATAAATTGCACAAAATTTGTCGTTTATGTTTAATTGAGGACGAAAATTTACGACAAATTTTTGATGATTCGAATTGTATTGTTGATATGCTTTCGCTCTTTACATCACATCAGGTAAAGAAAAATCAGCCAGGTGTTTTATTTGTACATATGTGTGTGTATATAGTATTATTCATATTTCATTTTTGACATTTAACATCTTTTTTAAACAAAAACACTGGGAATGAAACGGAACGTATTTTAATCGAACATTTAACGTAAATTAAATTTGAAAACTGGACGTTATTTTGAACAGGATATTTTTTTTAGAATAATATTTAATATTTTATAATTTAGTTAATTATTACATAATTTTAGATAACGAGCAATGATGGGTTACCTTGGAAAATATGTTTTGAATGTTTAACAATTTTGACGAAATGTGTTAATTTTAGGCAACAAATTGAAACAGCTAGTACAATTTTAGAACATTATATTAAACAAGGATTTGCTGACGGAATGGTTTTAGAAAAAATCGATGAAGATTATTTGGAAAAATATGGAATGTAATAAATTGGAAAATTTATTAAAATTAAAATCAATAAATTTTATGTTTCAGAATTAAATCAATACATTATGATTTGGAGAACGAAGTTGGCAGTCCATTAGCTGAACCAATACAAGAACTTAGTGTTTCCGAAAGCGATGTTCTCGAAGATATCATTCAAACTATAGATCTACCTACTATTGAAGAGATAAATAATACTGACAATGAAGATTTTTATAACGATGACTTCAATGATACTGCATCATCAATTAATGACACAGAACTAATAAGAGCTAAAAAAAGAAAGCGGGCTGAATTTATTAAGGACGTATTAGCTCAAGAAATTTTAAAGGACGAACAAAGTGAAAATCAAATTATAGAAACTGATTTTATAAGATCATACAAATGTAAAGATTGTAAAGAAAATTTTTCAGAAAAAGATGATTTGTATGTCCATGAATCAGTGCACGACATAAATTCAAATAATAAATTCATATGTAGAAAATGTCAAAAAGAATTTAGTGAATTAAAAAAAATGAAACGCCATATCAGAACTCACTTTTTAAATAAACCATTTAAATGTAAAGATTGTGATAGAGGATTTCCTGAAATGGCTTCCCTTACACGTCACGTAAATGTCGCACATTTGGGTCAAAAAAAGGAACGTAAATTTGGTTGTTCTATGTGTGATAAAAAATATTTTGATTCATATTCTTTAAATGTACATATTCGAACACATAATGGGGTCAAACCTTATGCTTGTACAGAGTGTGATAGAAGGTTTACAGACTTCCGGTTATTGAACTCACATCGAAGGACACATTCGGGCGAAAAAAATTACAAATGTCAACACTGCGATAAGAAGTAATTTAATTAATTTCGAATTTAATTATTAAATAGAAACTGTATTTATTTATATTTTAAGATTTACTCACCAAAGTACGCTGGCTACACATATTCGAACTCATACTGGAGAAAAACCATATGTATGTATAATATGTGGAGCATCATTTATACAATCATCAAATTTACGATTGCATATGCGCTCTCATTCTAAAGAAAAACCTTACTCATGCGACGTATGCTCAAAAGGTTTCATTAGTTCTTCGGCATTAACAATGCACAAGCGTTGCCACACTAAAGAAAAGCCGTACGCATGCCCGCAATGCGATAAAAGATTTCCTAGATCGGATCTAACAGCTCACATGCGCACCCACACTAAAGAAAAGCCGTATACTTGTGAAATTTGTGCAAAGACTTTTACAACTTCATCACAACTGAAAATTCATTTTCATAGACATACTGAAAAAATTCACAAATGCGATTTATGTGAAAAAAATTTTTCAAACTCTATTTATTTAAAAAAACATATGAAAACTCACCAAACATGTGAAAGTTTTTATAGAAAAAATGACAACGTTGATCAAAATCCAAACAGTACTATTGCTGGTCAAGAACAAGATAATGATGCTGAATTAAACGAAAGTTTGCTACTGGTGAACAATTTATTAGCAGCTGTTGCTGAAAATGATCTAACATCTAACGCTAATTAAATTAATATAAATTATTATTTCGCCTGAGTATTTAATAATGACCGCTATCACTAGTTTATGTTAATATAATAAGATAATTTATAAATAAAATACATAAAAATTTTTTCAAGAGATAATTCGCTTTAAGCGTTTATTTCATTTATATTTTATATAAAAAAAAATATTTTTCAATACATTATCAGTCATTACAAAACAATTATCTTTAAAATTTGAAAAAGATAACAATTTATTTTAAAATTTACTCCAAAAATACCCGATGAAATATATGCAGTTACTGACACATACGTAAGCAAGCTACGTACATATAGTAAACTATAAAACAGTGCATTTGTATTCAATTAATCTATACTAAAATTTCGAATGTTATATTTATTCTAATTTGAGTTTTACAATAAGTTAAATTTTTCTTTTATATTTCTGGCCAGCAATGAATTGCTAGCATTGGAATTATAACAGCTGTTAGAATACTAGATATCAAATTGACACTATGATTATCTAAAATTCCAATGCCAGAAATATGCCGAACATTCCTATTCGGTTTATCAACAATTTTACCATTTTCATCAATTCCAGAATACTGTAGAGTTGCGCCGAGTATAGAATCTATTACAGATCCAAGAAGGCCCGCTATTCCGCCAAATAAAACAATAGGCCATTGAGATGGACTCGTATTCAAAGTTTTTATATCCACTGTATATAATATTGTTAAATAATACCCAATTCCAACAGCAAGACCTCCCAAAAAACTAACAACTAAGCCAATTATAGAAACTCCGCCATTGGTTCCCTTTGGAACTCGGCGTCTAGTTGTTATAAGGTAAGGATCCTTTTTGGATAAGACACTTCCTAACTCACTAGCCCATGTATCACCGTTGCAACAAGCAAACGAACCTACAATTCTTATTTTTAAACCATCATTCATTATATAAATATAGAAAATATAATACCAAGAATTGCAATTCCTAACCAACTGGATCTATAAAATTGTGAAAAATTTATAGGTCTTTCTCCACTTCCACAATCTAGTAGATATAAAAGGGACAATTGAGTCGCCATCCCCCCATTGCATAATACTTGAACCCAATTTCTCTGGCCACCTTCTTTGAAATCATCTTCGAACTTTCTTTTTAAGTTACTTCGGAACTTTGTTGCTTTTGATGATGTGAAGAAAAACAAAACTAAACTAGCAAAAAAAGCATGACTAGCTATTGATGTTGTAATTGCTACTAAAAGACCCAATATAGCTCCAGATTTATTAACGCTTTTCTTACGTAACGCATATACCATTAAAGCTAAAGGAGCAAATGTTGAAAACAGCCACCTCGTTGGAGCAATTGCTGAATTATCTGGAAAAAGTGAATACAAGGTCTAAACAAATGTTAATGATTCTCAATAGTTACCTTCATATTCTGATCCACCAGCTAGTTTTAAAAAAGTAACATTACCAACCCACATAAACATAGCCAAAGGAATGGACATTGCACATATTAAAACTGGCATCAAATCATTTGGCCATTTTTTTAACTTTTCTTTTGTTTCGGTTGACATTGCTTCCTTTGAAATATAATCAGTCTTACAAATAACAATAAATAACAATGGTATTATCATATATAAATTACAAAAAAAATATTTTAGAATTTCTTTTTGAAAAACATTGAACTTTTACATGTAAGTATGACCAATTACCAATAAAACGATTTTGACAAGCAAAGTTCAGTATGTAATCCAATATGCAATTTAAAATTTATCAAATAGCAACCATCGTTGCTACATATCAACCGATCAGCTGATGATGTTACAACTCACAACACAATTCGGTTTTTAATAATTCACAATAATTTACGATATTAGTGGTTATTTCTCACAAAAATACAATTCAGCCCATTCGAGTACTTCTCAATTAAAATATTTTGAAGCATATTTCAACAAATCGAACAAAAATTGCTTTCAGATTTTAGCTCAAAGGATGAATTGGATGATTTTCACCACTGAGAGAGTACGATTTAATCAGATTAAAATATTTTCTAATCTCAGAACTCCGATCTTAAAAAATAGCAGATAGACTACGTTGGTATGGTGGAACGAGTCCTTGACTTGAAAATTCAATCTGCGTATATTTTGCACAGATTGAAATGATATTACTTGAAATATAGAGACAAGCATTGCGGACAAGTACTGTATATTAATTTATCATTTTCAATCATTAAATCCGCGTATATGCAGCCCATTTTTAAGTCAAACTAGTAATTTTATCTTTAATAATAATAATCTTTAATAGTAATAATTGAATTACTAGATGTAAGTCGATTCGATAAAATTATTAGTATATAAATTATTGTATGATTCATATAAACGCAGTAATTGATATTATTTATATCATTCAATAATTTTTCAAATTGGAGAACAATATTTTTCGTATAGTTAGAGCGCAGCCTGAACTTGCATTAGTTCATGCAAGTCACTTGCATACATTAAGGCTGTTTAATGTATGAAAATATATGCAACATGGATAGTGACCATTAAAGTACAAAGTCCAACATCAACGTACATATTATATCAAACTACAACCTCATACATACATATTTACAAAATTCAAAGCAGCATAGGGCTGTTTAGTTTATTAAAATAGGTTTATTTTTCTTATTTCTTTTCTTTTCAATTATTATTACAACAAGTACTTTGTAAGGATTTGTCGAAATGCTAACAATTGAATAATTTCGAAGATTTTCCATTTTAAGATAATATTAAATTTTTGGTTAATTTTTGATACCCTTGCAAAACATTTCATATTAGCGATAAGGAGCTTGTTTAACGTCTGAATCTAAAAAGTTTGACAAACGCTATATAAAATGCATCTGATTTGTAAATGCTCATCAGATTTTATAGTAGATTAAGGGCCTGATCATTTACCTCGTTATCTTTTTCGGAAAGTGAGAAGAAGGTGAATAGTAACTATCATATACTTGTATAATGTAATTTACGATTGAGGAGAATTATTTGGTTTTTTGCTAAAATGCATACAAAATTTATTCACTTTGTTTTTGAAAGAAAGACGTTCAGTCGATAATTTGAGAACAAATGCAAAACTCCACTTGAAAAAATGAGAAATCTTACTGAAAAAGTCTAATATTCATTAGGAAATACTGAGAATTCCGATTTGAAAATGTATAAAAAGTGAGTAGAGTAAAAAAGCGAGGTACACGTTTAGGCTGTTAATCTTAGATTTAGTCTGATGTATTTTGATTGAAAGCCATTACATCCCTACCGCAAACAAGAAATCATGTGAAGGGAAGCCAGATGGAGTCAAAATCTTGAATTTGAACATATGTATTGTTTTCTAACGGAGCATGTCAATACTCCAAATGTCATTTGTTGACAAAATAAGTGAAATCTGATAAAAGCGGTACAAGTTTATGTTGCAAAAACAGAAACCTAAAAAGAAATTGCGATGTTGATAAAAATTCAACATTTTGATATAACTAGAAAAAATAAAAACCAAATATTTTGATAACAGTTTTTATATTTATAAATGTTTCCATGTTATCGTCAACATTGTCTGAAAATTCAGAAGATGATGAGTTGGCTGTGACAATCAAAACAAATAAGAGCAGTAGTTTTATCAAATCGAAAACTTCATCGCCTAAACAATTGCCTGGATCAACCGCATCTTCAACGCCACCATTAGAATCTAAAAGGAAACACGAAGCTTCTATTGCCAAAGTTCAGACAGAAATTAAGAATTCAAGTGGAAATACATTCTTAGGAAGAAATATGACACCAATGCACTTTCTTGTGTTATACAATAGGGAAATCTTGTGTTTCCTAACATTATTTCTGACAACTTATGCAACATTTCACAACAAGTATGCCAATAAAACACCATATTATCCCATAACTTCATTACCAATTTTTGATAAGGATTCCATAGTTGATGAATATTTCAAAGGAGAATTAACACCATTGCAAACAAAAGTAAGCGTGTCTGGAATATCAGCGGTTCTTTTTTATGCTCCGTGGAGCTCAAATAGCTTATATGTTAAGCAATATTTTGAAAATTTGGCGAGAATTTTCCAACACGAAATTTATTTTGCTGCTGTAAACTGCTGGCAACCAGGTGGAGAATGTCGTATGCTTCATAGCAAAGTAAAATCATGGCCAGTTTTGGTTGTTTATTATCCTAAGTCACTAGCAGTGCAATATAATGGGCCTTGGCAATTGGGTCCTATTTACAAATTTTTAGTCGGGGTGTTAAGACCTATTCACAGATTACATTCATTTGATGAATTGAAACATTTTAACATACATAATTCGGTCTTAATCGTTGGATTTTTTTCGAAGATAAGCGGAAAGTATCAAAATTTTTATCAATCTGCAGCTAAGTGGTTGGAATATGATCCTTTGCAGGATGTAAAATTTTGCGTTGTTGTTGGTGATGTTTTAAAAGACTTTAATATTAAGAATGAAAGTGAAATTCATATTTTTTACCGAGGTGAAAAGCTACCAGAAACCTTTTCTAGTTGGTCAACAAATTCTATATTTAATACAGTTAAAAAACATACTAAACCATTAAAAAAATATTGGAATGGATTTCACAGACAAGATAATGAAAATTTACAAAATATTTTACAATCGAATCCTGCGTTGTTATTATTTGTCAAAAGAGATTATTTGCATAATAATAATACAGCAGAAATCTTAATAAATGAAGTGATAAAATTTCAAGAAAATAAACTAAAATCTTTTGTGTCAGAAGAACAGACATCTTTGAATAATATTAGTGCCAGTGGTAATATAATAACACGTAAAACAGAAATTAACCAAACTTTATCATATTTTTTATTAGACATATTCATGTATTATAAATTAGCATTCCAATTGGGTTTAACAAATTTTAATTTTAAATTACAACAATCTACTGCAGTGATAATTGATAATGCAAAAGAGTCAGTTTTTGTGTTTCCTCAAAATACTCCACTTATGAATGAAACTTTAAAACAGTTTGTTGATGATTATGAATCAGATCATATGAAGAGAAATTTTCGAAATAAGGATATACCAAAAATAAATAATGTGCAAAACGATAATATCAACATTCCAGAAATTAATGGAACAAAATTTATTGAACTTTTGCAATATCCGCTTAAAAATCAGTCAACATCTATTATATTAATTACATCAGCGACCTGTTCATTATGCGTCAGTATGAAGTTAAACCTTTTAAAATTATCAAAAGTTTTCGAAAATTTACCTGTATCATTTTATACAATTGATGGTAATAATAATGATTTTGCTTGGCAATATACCATGGGACAATATCCAACTTTATTAATAATTCCAAAAATGAACAAATACCAAGTTATAATTGATGATATAAGAATTTTGCCATACCACATAGAGCCAAACGAAAAAAATATACTTGGTTTTATAATGGCTAATTTAGAAATACCAGAGAGATTATTTGGAATGTTAGAATATTGTGGATATTTAAAAATTTCTAATGGCTTTTACAATTGCTTAAAAAAGACTCGTCAAACAATCGAATCTATTATTAGTGAGCAACTAAATTTGTGGAGGAATTACACAACAAGGCGAAAATGTATTGAAAATAATTTAGAGATACTTAGAAATTTATATTACGAGCTGTTAAATGCGAAAAATCGGAATGATATTCAACACACTTTTTCAATTATAAAACAAAACCAAATTGATATTAGGTTTGCCTGTGACAATGAAATTTTGAACAAAAATCTTATAACTAGTTAACATTTGTTGAATAATTTTTTTAAAGGGAATAAATAATTTTCCATGTAATATACGGCTACCAAGAAATAGAAATAAAAGAAACATTATTTATATCTATTGAAGTTTTTTTTCTGCCTCGACATAAAAGAAATAGTATATATGTGTAGTAATTCAAATTATAAAATACGACTTGGTTTTTAACAAAATTTAATATATTACCAACTATCTAACTATCTTAATTTCAAAATTATCCATAAAACGAATGTTACAAATAGTATGAATAAAAACATATAGAACATGTGTCGATTACCACTGTGTTTACCTAGTCTAATTACCCTTCCCATTGTATTCCCGAGGAAGCCACCAGTCCGATCTAAATCATCATCCAAACCTCCAATCAATTTGTCCTGATATCGAACTTCATTGCCGATATCTATCGTTAGAGATTTTAATGCCCCTATTTTTTCTTTCAATTCTTCAGTGGATCTTTCATTTTCATCTTCTAAATTGTCATAACTTGTACTTGGACCCGGTGGTCGTTGTGTCAAGGGTTGGTATGCGTAATTTGTGCGTCGCATACTGTTGTTAGTTTTTCCTGTTGAGAAAGAGGCCACGTTGAATACTGAAACCAATAATTTTGATTTTATTTCTTTTAAACCAAATAATATGATACATACTTTTTCTGGGTCTTTATGTATTTAAAAGCTCGCTATACAAGTGAATTTAATTTGTTTTCAACGACGAACTACAATTACTGACGTGTACAAAAACATGGAATTTTTGCTAAAATTTTATAGGTGCCTAATACTTTTTTGACTACGAAAAAATTAATTAGTTTTCAGAATCAATTTCGGCTTTTTTCGTACTATTTAAAAAATTCAAAGTTATTCAAAAGTTTCGAAATATCTAGTCTCTTTTTGTGTAATTTTAATTTAATAATCAAATTATGTCAAATTAATGTATATACTTCAAGTGTTTTGTTGATGTGTTGATTAAGTTGTCACTTAAATTCTCGCGATCTGTGTGACCGTTTTAAATTTTTCTTCCAGAGTAAATTTGTTTAGCCAAACGGAATAAACCGTCCAGTAGAATCGAATTTTTGCAATAATAATAGTAATCTTTAATGTAACAATTGGCTCACAGAGTTATCAAGAGTCATAATGTATTTGTCACAACATTTATGTATATGAGACATAAATATAAAAAAAAAATAATGTAACAATATATCTATATATAATATTATGTATTTTGTAATCAAAAATATTATATAACATAATCTTTTTGCAAATATATAGATATAGTTCCTAAACATCCTCAAATAGATTCTGCAGCACTTATCACCCCAATTCTTCAAAATAAAATAGTTCTAAGGTCTAACACTCGTCAAATACGTTCCAGTACAATCCAAACTCTTCGAGACTCATCTTTTCTATTAATCGGTTGTGTTTATACTAATCATTTTTAGCTTAAAATTAAAGCAGTATATTCATATTAGTTAGATTTTCAAGAATTTGAATGACTATTATTTTTTGGGTCAATTTCGCTTTTATTCTTCTTCACATTTCAAAGTTTATCAAAAATGCATTGTGTCGTAATGTACCTACTCATATTTTTGTAACGTCGTTATTATTGCTATTTCACTTCTTAAACATTTGTGCTCTAATCTATCGAGTTCTAACTCTTTTATTTATGAATCAAGAGTTTTTTCCTAATAAATTTTAAATGTTTAGTTGGAAATATAGGTTTGTAAACATTTTCAAAAATTTATTAAAATGCTGTAGAAGAATTAGACGTCCGTTATTTATTAGTTATTTATTATATAATTTCTTTATACAATAAGGAATTGTTATTTCCTATCCCGCAACCTTTTTTGTCATTGAAATTGTACAAGTGCTCTCAACTTCTTTTGTGTTTTTTGATTTCACGGCTTAAGCATCAGTAACAGAACTTATAGTATATAAAGCTTTATGTACATGTATACTTTAAGACCTTTATATTCAATGTTTTTCTTCGGTAAAAATAAAATTTATCAAATTCGAGAAAACAATGTATCCAAAATGTATCCAACCTCCTAAAATAGCATTATTACAATAAGTTGTCTCATTTTCTACAAATAAACTGATAATTAATATTAATTTGCTTTTTAACAATGATAGTTTTGTTATTTATTGTAAATTCTTTAAGAAATCACACGCAACTTTTATTGCATTTTAATTGTAAAAGTTAAGGCTAGACATATATATATACATATGTATGTATATATATGTTCTGCTGCTGTTGAATTATGCGGTAAAGACGATTCACCATAAAAACTAATAAATTTTAAAAAATATGTGTAGCCAATGCATTTTCTGTTACACTTAGTTTACACCAAAATATTTCTGGTACATTCTTGTCTTAATGTTCTACATTTAAATACAGGAAGAGGAGGTACTTATTTAATAAAGTATCTTTATTACTTTATTAAATAAGTACCTTATTCTAACAAATTTTTTGGAGACAAAGCAATTTCGCGATTTAATATTAGCAGTACTTTTGTTTTTATTAGCAACAGTTTTGTAATATTTATTTAGTGTTTGACAAAGAAATGTATCCATATTTCAGCAAAATTTTCAAATGTAGCCAATTTCGGCATTTTCGCAGATTTGAGTATTTTTATATCCACGCAAAGTTTAAAGCAAAAAATGTATCCAAATTGATGTTATGCGTGTCCATGCGTGAACACTGTTTATATTTTCTTTAGATTCCAAAATTTCTCGAGATGCATGCAAACTCAAATGAAACTCTGACACTATGTAAAAATCTGAAATTAATTCTCTGCATATATAACAACATAACGGCAACAATTGATATATAAAGTAAACAATGAAAAAACAAGCCCAGTCTAGGACGCTTTTGAATGACTTTTTAAATGTCATAACGCAATGTTTATATAGCTATCTTTCTTTTCGTTCAAGGCAATGTTTATATGAAAGAAAGCGAAAAAAACACTGTTTTTTAAAATACTGCAAATTTTGACTTTCTGTATGCCTTATAGGTTTGTTCCTTGAACAATCGAAATGAATTAGGACAATTTTCAGCCAATTAATTAAAATACGAAACTTCATGAATTTAAAATATTAATTGATATTTGCAATAATATGAATATAATAATAAGTATTCAATATTAAATTAAGTATGTTTTATAAAAGATTATATTAAATATAGATCTACAATAGTTGAAGTGTATGCGACATAACAATATACGCAATCAATCGAATCCGTTTCATTGTGATACATTGTGGGTTCATGAACAAACATAAGCATTTATGAAAGAAAAGTTTAGAGTTTTTAGCGCTTTCATTTTGTCAAAAGTGTATAGTGATGGTTTAACTTCATTTTTCTAAATAATGAAATGGACATTATAAAATTAATTTTTCCAATAATTGTAACATTACAACAAAATCCTTAAAGGAAAAATATTTTTTATAACATATTTTTGCGTTCATAGAATGACTATAATGGGTGATAGAGATATTCCAAGTGTTCCAGTGACAACATTGGCTGGTTTAACAAGCATATCCGATCTATTAAGTGAACTCCCAGTGTCGCAGTCATTCTCAACTGTCTCGTCTTTAGATAAATCGCTATTATTCCATGCGTTAGTTGCAGAGGAATCTTACAATTTATTGTCTGTGAGAGATGATAATTTAGTTCGACAGCTTGTTCAAGCTATTGAACAAACTAGTGCCGAAAATATAGAATTGAAAAGTCAATACGCCATAAGTCAGCCTCAAATTAATATTAGTGAATATCCGGAATTACTCAAAGGGATATATACGTTCAAGCCTACAGTTTTCAACACTCCAAAAAAACATCATGGACTTCCTAACACACAAGCAAATTTTACTTCAAATGTACAACATAGTTCAGGTATGCAATTACGGGGGACAACCCAAACAATTTCCAGTCAAAAAGTACAATCATCAATTGGTGCTATTGCTACTCCTACAATTCAATCGACAAACACAGAGAAAATTGTTAACCAGCAGGTCATACCTGGAACTAAAGTAATCTTGCAACAGCAAACCCATCAAGTAATTACTAGTCCCGTTGAAGTATACTCCCAAAATAGGTGAATTTCAGATTTTACTTGATTTTGCTATAAAAATTAACAAAATTCAAAAATTTTTTAGGGCTTTACGATCTAAAGAAACGAAAAAACAATGTGAGGCCAAGCCAAATTTCACTGAGACGAATTCTTCGGCAAGCATTCAAGAAATATCTTACAATTTTCAAAGTGGTCAAGCAGAAAGCGTAATTTCTAATCCTGTGCATGTTATTCAACATAATATTGCAGCTCATAATCAAAATAATATGAAAACTACTTCAAATTCAAAATTGAATGAAGCATTTCCTGCACAAAATCCGAAAGATAAGGAGAAAACTACTAAACTTTCTCAAAATCAAATACCGGGGACTAATGTTATATTACATACGAAAATTAATTCAGATATTGCTGTTCCGGTTGAAAGTATTCAAGCAAAAGTGAATGATAGTCTTTCAGATTACAAAAATTCAAAAGTAGATAAAAGTCATCAACAGCAACTTCCAAAGCAGTTGCTTTCTAATGAAACTACGGTTATTCAACATAACGTCTCTTTTGATAACAAGCAGCAACAACAAAATATTGAAAAGAATCAATCATTAAGTGTGATTACACCTAGTCCGATTCTTCAACAGCAAATTGATTTGCACCAACAATCAAGCCAAATAACTTTGCGGGAAAAATCTCTTCAAACAAAGCAGCAACCGCAAATAGAACAGAAACAGCAGCAAGAACAGCATGAGTTACAACAAAAACAAGAAGCGATTCAACAACAGCAATTACTATTGCAACAACAGAAACTATTGCATCAACAACAGCAACAACAGCAACAACAAAAGTTACAGCTGCAACATGAACAACAACAGCAAAAACAGCAGCATCAGTTACTACAGCATCAGCAGCAGCTTCAGCAACAACAGCAGCAACAACAACACCAACTGCAGCCACAGCAACAACAACCGCAAATACAACAACAACAACAAACACAAATGCAACAACCACTACAAAAACAACATCCAAAATTGCAGAGACAGCAACTGCAACATCAGCCGCAAAATCAGCTCCAAGTCCAACAACACGGGCCGCAGACACAGCAGCTACTCCAGCAACCGCAAAATCCGCAACAAAAGCTTACTCAAAAACCTATACAACAATCTCAACAGTCTCATCAACAATTTCAGCAGACACCGCAGCTGACGCCTCTTCAGCAGCCGTCACAAGTTACTCCGCCTAAAGTAACGGAATTAATTGCACCTTTTAAAGCTACGGAACCTAATACAGCAGTTCAAAATAAAGGCTTGCCACATACAAATGATGTGTCGAATACCTCAGAAATTCCTTTTAAAAACGAAACAAGTGAATGCAATATCAAACAAGTTAGCTCAAACCAATTGAATTCAGAGAATCAAAATAATATTCAAATATTAAAGGAAGAGGAACCTGGAGGAAACGAAGTTAAAGTAGATCCGTTAAAAATTGATAATGAAGCGTTAGTTAATAAAAAAATAAAAGCAAATGGAAAACGAAAACTTAATTGTAAGGTTCGCATTAGAAAAATTAAAAAGCAGCATACAGTTTTAATATTAAAAAGTATAAAAGAATACACAAAAAAGTTTCCCTCTTCAGCGAAAAAAATGAACTTACTATTGGAAGAAACCAAGCCTCAAGACATGTTTTCGAAAATGAAAGCTGATGAAAGGCGAAATCCTATAAAAAGAAAAGTTCCCTCAGTACCTAACGAAATTCCACCAGAAGAAATTATATCAAAACCCAAATTAAGAAGGGTAGAAAGAGTGATTGTAAGTACCATAGCGAAAACATCAAAAGAAGAACTGCAAAAATCTCAAACTTATCAACAGTTTATGAAAAACATTGATAACATTATAGAGCTATTAGATGATACGGAACAACCTAATTTTAATTCGGAAGAAACGGACGAAACTATAGAACCAATACCATCCAAAATGTTAAGTCTTCTTAGTAATGATGTAGCAAAATTAAAAGCCAAGGGTGTTTTAGATTTGATACCTAAAAATAAATTAACTTTACTCATAAACTATGCAATGAGAAGTATTTATCTTGCCAGAAACTACTCTTCTGGTCCAGACGTTGAAGAAGACATGTTTGATGAAGAAATTATGGAAAAGGTTTTAAACGCCGTTGAAGCTACGCTTTTAATTTGTAATATATATTCAACAGTAGGCGATTTAAAATTTTTGCAAGAAGACAATATAGCGTCGATAATAAAATTTGTTCAATTTCAATTTCGAGAGACAATTTTCCCTTCGTATGATCCCGTATATATTGTAAAAAATATGAAGAAGACTGGTGGGGAAAACAGGAAGAAAACAAAATCTCAGCATAGTCATAATAGAAGTCTGCAATTATTTTATTCAAAAATTGTTGAACTAATGAAAGTTCTCGTAACGCTTTTCGATAAATGCATTTTCGTTGATACAATTATTTTACCGCTTTCCACTTTGGCTATTGAGCCTTTTTTTGTGGACAACATTGAAACATTACAATTCGTTTGTTTAGAATTAGTAACAGCACTATTTAGAAAAGAACAATATGTAAATATGCGAAGTAGTATACTAGGTGATATTTTGGCATCAATTGATCGATTACCTTGTTCAAAAAAAAATTTAAGACCTTTTAAGTTGGCAAATAATGGTGGAAATATTCAAATGATAACGGCTTTAGTATTACAATTAATTCAGTGTGCAACAATACTTCCGGAATCCTTAAATGAGAAACCAAACAAGAAGCAAAAGTCTTCTGTATCTGGAAATAATGAAGAAATTGAAAATGGGAATTCAAGAAATTCAACCGACAAAGATATAATTGTTTTAGAAAAGTATGATACAGCTCTCAGTATCGGTGGTAACTTTCTGACTACATTTTTAAGTAAGTGTAAAAGCAGAACAAATGAAACTGATTTCCGTCCGTTATTTGAAAACTTCATCCATGATTTATTGGCTACTGTAAATAGACCAGAGTGGCCAGCTGCTGAATTATTATTGAGTCTGTTAGGTACATTATTGGTGAAATACATGTCAGATAAAAGTATCGAGCAAGCTATTCGTCTAGCTTCCTTGGATTATTTAGGCATTGTTGCAGCTCGACTAAGAAAAGATATAGTTGAGTCGCGCTGTAAAGTAAATACCATGGATCAAATGATTAAATCAATTAAAGCTGAACAAGAAAAGGAAGGTGATTTAGATGATAAGGATAGTAATATTGTTCTAGATCCAGATGAAGAAAGAGTTATATTTTTACAGAATATTTTATTAGATTTTTTAGCTGTTAATGCACAAGAAGAAAACTTAATTTGGGATTACGCGAAAAATTTTTATTTAGCACAATGGTATCGTGATGTTATACAACAGAGAAAACGGGTAACAGAGGGTGATAAAAACTATGCTTATCGTAAGAAAAAAAATTCAAGTAAACGCAATAGACGAAAACCTGGTGATAAATCTGGTAGTGATGAGGAAGATTCTATTGAAGAAATTAGTGACGACGATGATTTAAAAGATAGTAAAAGAAAGGGTGATGGTGTCGATGTGAAGCTAAATTTAGAAATATTTCAAGCATTAGAAGAACGGAAGAGGTTTTTACTACGTAAGAGAAAGCCATTTCACTCAAGTAGTGGTGGGAATACATCACAATACATCAAAACATATATTGATTACAATAATGCGCACTTAATTGCACAGTATTTAGCTAGTAGAAGACCATTTAGTCAATCGTTTGATAAATATTTACAGAAAATAATTCTCGTTGTTAGAGAACCAGCAATAGCAATTCGAACACGAGCCATGAAGTGTCTTGCTAATATTGTTGAGGTTGATCCTTTAATATTAAAACGAAAAGATATGCAAATGGGTGTAAATCAGAAATTTTTGGATACTGCTATATCAGTTCGTGAAGCAGCTGTAGATTTAATCGGAAAATATGTGTTAAGTAATGAAGACTTAATAGACCAGTATTACGAAATGCTATCAAAAAGAATTTTAGATACTGGAGTTTCAGTTAGAAAACGTGTCATAAAAATTCTACGTGATATTTGTATTGAATATCCTGATTTCGATAAAATACCCGAAATATGTGTTAAAATGATAAGACGTGTAAATGATGAAGAAGGAATACAAAAATTGGTTACTGAAGTTTTCATGAGTATGTGGTTTACACCATGCCCAACAAATGATAAGATTGCCGTGTATCGAAAAATTAATCAAATCATCGATGTTGTAAATACGGCACATGATACTGGAACTCTTTGGCTCGATGGCTTATTGACAAGCATATTTACTCCGAAAGATAACGTTACAAAAGCTGAAACCTCGGCCGACATTGTAAAAAAAAACACAGAGCCTCCAGCTGAAGTTGTACTAGCTTGCCAACAATTAGCTGATGGTTTAGTAGAACGTTTGATTGAATTAGAAGATACGGATAACAATCGAATGCTTGGGTGCATAACTACTATACATTTATTAGCAAAAGCACGTCCTAAGCTTTTGGTTAAACACGCTATCACTATTGAGCCGTATTTAAATATTAAATGTCATTCTACAGTAGCTCCAAAGTTCATATGTTCTGTGGCTGAAATACTAGAGCAAGTAGTTCCACTAATGGAACATCCAAGTGATTCATTTTTAGCGGATTTAGAAGGGCATTTGATGATGTTGGTTGTGTCTTTAAATCAAAAAGTTGTAGCGAGTTGTGTTTCGTGCTTGGGATCGGTTGTAAATAAGATTACAAAAAACTATAAACTTATAAGAGATTGCTTTTCAAAATTTTACAAGAGTATTTCAAGTAGTCGAGATCAACTCAAACGAAATCCAAATTTACCAATGGATAGCATATATCAACCAATATTTCGGCGCAGTTTGTACACGATTGGAATACTAATGCGTTTTTTTGATTTTAAATCACCCATGGTTTTAGGTACTGAGGATGGTGATAGAATTACTCCAACAATTTGTGATGAAGTTTTTGATTCTTTGATGTTTTTTATTACCGGTTCGAATTTAGAAATACGAAAACAAGCATTGGTTTCATTAGGATTTTTTTGTGTCCAAAATGACGACTATTTGACTAGACCCGAATTAAGAGACTTTTACTGTGATCTTCTAACTTCAACATCTGTTGAGCCATATATCAAGTCGTATTGTATGCGAAATATATGGATGTATTTAACAGAAACGGAAATAAATATGTTTAATAAAGAAAAAGATTGGGCGAAGCAATCACAAATGGATGACTTAAAAGAAATGAATGATGTATCGTCTGGTATGGCATCTAGAATAATTCAACTGTATTTAAATGGAATATTGAAATGTTTTATTCATACTGATTATAATGTAAGATTATGGGCAGTTAAAGTAGTTCAAATTGTATTACGTCAAGGTTTAGTTCATCCAGTTATTATTGTTCCTTATTTAATAGCTTTAAGTACTGACGAAAAACAAGAAACATCGCATCGATCTGATCATTTACTAAAAGAACTTGATAAAACATACACCGGGTTTGTTAATATGAAGGTCCAACAAGGTTTAGAATTATCGTTTCAGTTGCAAGATGTACTGCAAAGTAAGTCAGAAGACGATGTTATTCGTGGTTATATTAAGCGCGACAACCAAGTTGTGGCATTAAATGATTTCTTATACACTCTCTTAAGGAACACAAAGCCACAAAGACGTGCATTAGTTCAAACTGTTACAAAACAATTTGATGATCATAAAACAACATTGAGGCAAATGCTGTTCCTAGCCGATAATTTAGCATACTTTCCGTATATGGTACAAGATGAACCTCTCTATCTAATACATCAAATTGATATTTTAATTTCAAATACCGGAACAAGTTTATTAGCAAATTTTCGTGAAGGTTTAAAACCAGTGAAGACAGCTGTAGAAAATACCGAAACAACAGAAAAAGTTTTGAGAGTTGATGACGATGACGATGACGAAGAAGATAAAGAACTACTATTTGAAAGGTTACCTGAGGATACCAAAGAATTACAAAAATGTATTGTATCTGCTCAAGGTTGCATGTTACTGCTTTTATTGAAACAACACTTAAAAGACATGTATGGTTTAACTGATGGTAAAATATCAAGGTATTCACCAAGTGAACCCAAAATTTATGAAAAAGCAATAAATCGAAAACAAGTAAATGATTTTCAGCCAAAATCAACAATTGACGTTATTAAAAAGGGCAAAGATATTTATAAAGAATTAGATGATAAGGAAAAACGAGATTTAATAGATAAATATTTAGATTTTAAACAATTAATGTTACGTTTAGATCCAGATGATGCTGATTCAGAAAATGAAGGCGAAGTCAAATCAAAACTTAACACAACAACAGATAATTTAGGTAGTACTGAAACTGAATCGAATGAAAATAATACAAGTAAAAATGACACAAAATCACAACAAAGCCAACAAAAACAGCAACAAACAACTCAACATCACCAGCAGCAAAACCAACAGCAACAGTCGCAATCACAACAACAAACACATTTTCAACAAGAATTCTTACGAAGCATAGGTTCAACACCACAAAACCCAAATGTTCAAAGATCAACTAGAACATCAACAAAAACGCAAAATCCCCCAAAAAAACCTCCTGTGCGTAGTACTCGAAAAAGAAAAAAACTTGCATCATCCGGTGATGACGATAGTGATTATAGCGATTATGATTAATTATACATACATTGTAATACTGCGTATAAAATAATACAATTATATATTTTTTTTATTTCAATTAACAGAAGAAAAGCAAAAAAAAAATTAAAAAAAATCCTTAGATATAAAATTAAATAAATATTTGTATAAAATTAAATAAAAATAAAAAAAAATAATTACTTATTCTTGTAAAGAAACCTTTTTTGTTTGTATAAAATTTAAGGTAAATTTCTATATTAATTAATTATTTAATTAATTAATTAAATAGACTTAAAACTAAAAAATACAGAATTTCAAGATAAAAAAAAAATAAAAAAAAAAATAATTAAATTGAAATTAAGGTAAAGAATAATTTGTTAAATTATCAATAAAACAAAAATCATTTAAACTTAATTAACTACCGAGAAGAAAACTATTATTATTAAAAGTTTATAATTTAAAAATAAAAAGTAATAATAAACACTAAGTTCTTCTAAGTTAAATAACGAATAATCCAATTAGAAAACATTCATTTTTGTTTTGTTTTTTAATTTTTTAATTTATAGAACCTAAAAATCAAATAAAATAAAAAAAAACAAAAAAAATCACAAAATATAAGAATTTAAGAATTACTATAAATAAAATAAATAATAATTAAATTGAAAATAATCCAGAAAATAAATGTTAATAATTTTATGAAATATTTAAATTCAAAAAAAAAAAAATTAAAAAACATGTATTTATAAATAATAACGAAAAAATAAAATAATTATTGATTTACATACATAGATTCTAAATAATATTTAGGTTTAAACATTTTAAATTCATATTATATGAAATTAGTTTTTTTTTTCTTTTTGTAAGAATTTAAAAAAAAATATATATATATATATTAAAAAAAAACCTGAAATAAAGTTTTATTTTAAACAAAAGGCGTTTAAATAATTACGTGGATTGCTTTATAAAAATCCACGAGTCGAAGTATTTGTTCAAATACATAGAGCAATAATTATACAAATTTTAAGTTTATTTTTTAACAAAAGCCGAAAGTTTAGACATTCATTGAAAGTTCTAAATCAAGTTTTAAAAGTCTTTTCACAAATACTAACAATTTTACAGAAACTGAATATTTTACTCTGCAAATTTCAAATATGCTACAGTAATTCTTCAATATCCGTTTTTTCTCTATTATACTGCTCTTTTTCCAATTTATAATATTTTTGCAGTAGTTACAAAAAAACTTAAAATTTCCTTTAAAACTTTAAGCACAATTGTCATTTTTGAATATGCTAATTTTGCAAATTTCCATTTGAATATTGCTCTATATTAAGAACTAAAAACTGAACTATCAAAAATCCCCAAACTTAGAACTGCTGAATATTTGAATCGAAACAATTTTTGTTTTTCCAAGCATAATAATATTTGTGAATAAGTACTGTATTCGAATTCTATTTGAATTCCGAAAATGTAGCACACTAGTCATAATATAAACAAAATTTCGCAATAGTAAAACATAAAAAAAAAATATTGCGGAACTTTTAACGAGATTTTCTGAAAAAATTAAGATTTCAAACTTTCTTTAATAATGCAAATATGTTTGTACATAAATACATAATACGTATTACGAATTTTAACATGCATATATGAACTAATATTCTACGAAATATACAATAAAATATTTTTTATGTTTTTCCTTTTATTTTAATATCTCTTAATAAGCCTTGTCATATCTGTACGGCTTTAACTTTATAAACAGAAAGAAATGTAAGAAAAGTGCACAATTTTCGTTATGAAATTTTTAGCGCCAAAAAAAGCGCACACAAAAATAAAAAGAAATTAGATTTTCTTTCCTTTCTTATAAATCTTTCATGGAGCCGATTTGTCTTGGTTGAAATTATCAAAAAATTATATTTATAATGAAAAAACGCGTAGTTTCTAACTTTACAACGTTTGTACATATGTTTTCATATATAAACGAGAATAGATAGAATTGGTCAAGTCAACTTTGTGATATCCGTACGAATGAATGGTTGTAGGGATTATATGAGTGCTTTTACCATTTCGATCAATGTGTTTCTTTTTATTATGCTATAAAATAGTTTATGTTAAACCCTATAAATCAATATATTTCACATAAAAACTCATACGGCTAAAATTTTTCGATGTTTAATATGAATTTTCACATTGTGCTCAACAATATTTCTATATAAGTAAAAAATACCGTCATCGCAATCGGAGTGGGAAGTTTATACCACCTTTTAAATACAGTAAATATTATATACATATACGTAGTTGTATTATTGTTGTTACAACAAGAGTTCGAATTGAATTACATCTATGTATACATATCTATATTAAATTATCTACTACTTTATTCATCTGTACGTTATTTTAAGAGCTTAACAGTTGATATTAATTTACCATGTGTATAGAAATGTTCTAATACATAGATTTCAGATTTACGATACTTACATACATGTTTTATTTTGTAATACATCTGATAGAACTGTATGTAATAATATTCATGAATTACAGGTATGTTTTAATTGCTTGATTATTGTTATAACCAAGTATTTAATACAAAATTATATTCGTGTTTCAGAACTTAACAGCATTAGATTAAAAATGGATCACATAATTGAATCGGATTGTGTTATTTTCTTAATGTATTTATGTGCGCTTTCGTATTTTAATTGTGACAAACCAAATAAATAAATAACGTATATGTACATTGTTACAATAATTCTTGTGATAAGCATATAAATTATTTTAAATTTTTATCGTAAAAAGTAGAATAGTATTAAAGAAGAAAATTCTTTTGGAAGAGGCGGATTCCCTCAAACAAGCAAAATAAAAATAAGAAAAAAAATAAAAACAAATATCTCAAAACAAACAATTTCAGGAAGTCAGTCACAAAACATGCGTTGCTGTCATTATTTTTAAAGTGAAAGTTTTTCTTTTTTAAGCAAAAAGAAGAAAAATCTGAATTCAACAACCGTCGTTGTAAATAAATGAAGGAAAATCCTTTAGAAATTTTTTTCTTACAAATTACAAATATGTATGCATGCGAATGTTTGTTCACTACACTTACATATGTTGTTATGTATGTACATTATTTGTAAGACGGCGGTGACGGCAGTATATAAAAAATAATATTTTGTTTTTTAAAGCAAAAAAAAAGAAAACTTTTTTGCATAGAAGTCGAAATAATAAAATTTTAAAAATAATTTGTTTTCTGTTTTTTTTTTGTTTTTTTCCTATTTATTTTATTTATATCTTTCTATTTTGCTTTTAAATCTCTCATACATATTTTGACTTTTATTCTTCTATGCCGCTAGTGTAGCAGATTCACCAAATCACTGTTGACATTTATTGTAATGCGGTGCGATTTAAAAAGTATGTCTTGAAAAAATTCAATATTACAAACTTCTGAAGGTGTTACGATAAAAAACTAAATGGGATGATGCGGCAAGTATGTTATGCATGTAGCAGGCGTTGGGCCCATACAAAAAAAAATTAACTTATCTAGAATGAAATTGAAATGGTAACATAATATACTTGTATAATATTCACAAACGCACATGGTTACATCGTTATAAATATGAATGTCATAACGGTTTTCCTTTTTCTTAATTTCCGAAATAACTGTTTTGATTTGTTTTCTTCGAAAAAAGAAAGGAATTTTAACAAGGATGAAACATTAAATATTCGTTTTTATTTTTAACATTTGAAATAAATCTTATCTTGTGTAGGTATTCGTCATACTACATGTTTTTACTTATGTATATATAGTTTGAATGTATGAAAATATGTTAACCAGAAATTTTAAATTAAAATTTATTGGCTTAAAGATTAAGTTAATTGTTGAACATGACACAATAATGTGCGATTAAAAATTAAAATTTGATCTAATTTTCTGTGCAAACACTTAGATAAATGCAAGATATTCAAATTTGTATTACGATACTATGCACCAAAAGGAGAGTGATGTGCAACCAGATAGCGGATCTACGGAAATGAAGCTACTCACCTCTCACTCTCAATCTCCTGCTTCGCCGTCACGTGGTGGTGCTGTCAACCCTAACTGGAGATCAGGTAACCAACTCAAGAGAGAAGGAAACCCTGGTGGAAGGAAAGGGATCAGAAGAAGCAAGGTGATCTGACTCTCCTAGAGGAGACTGGTCTTAAGGCTGACAACCTAATACCAGTAACAATTGTCATGAATATGCAACAACTGCCTCGGAACATTAGATCAGGAACTCAACGTTACAGACCCATGCAAGCCCTTAAGGTTAACGATTTACGGATAGCGACTTGGAACGTCCAAACAATGTTACAGCCTGGAAAAATGGCCGAAATTGCAGATGAATTTCTAAGGTATAAAATTAATATTGCTGCATTACAAGAAATAAGATTTGGTAGTGAAGGAGAAATTAGAAAGAGAAATTATTCGATATTTTACAGCGGTGCAAATAAACCCGGACATAAGGGAACTGGGTTTTATGTCGATAAAAAACTAAGACAGAGTATAATAGAATTCGAACCAATAAATGAGAGAATGTGCTATATCAGACTGAAGGGTAAATTCCAAAATTTATCAATACTGTCGGTATATGCACCAACTGAAGATGCCGAAGAAAATAGCAAAGATCATTTCTACGATAAATTAACGGCCTACTGCAACAAAATAAGCAGACATGATATACTAATTACTATTGGCGATTACAATGCGAAAATAGGCAAGGAATATTTTGTAAGAGAAGTTGCTGGACAACATTCTCTACACAATATCAGTAATAACAACGGTATTCGCGCATGTAACTTTGCTGCAAGTCAAGGAATGTGGATTAGCAGTGTTTCCTTTCCACACAAAAATATACATAAGGAAACCTGGAAAATACCTGGAATGAGAGGTGCTAATCAAATTGACCATGTTATGATCGACAAAAGACACGCAACTTCTATAGCTGACGTTAGATCATACAGAGGTGCGAATTGCGACTCGGATCACTACTTAGTTGTTGCTAAAGTACATCAACGTATTTCAAATGTGAATAGTAGAAACAACTTCAAAAGAACTATATGGAACACAAGCAAAAT